AATCATTGTTAGCCAGTGTCTGAGATACTGCACAGTTGATCAGTAGGGTTGGGCGATATTAAAAAAATCATTTCACGATTATTGTCAAGGAAATTATCACGATATTCGATAATATCTATCGCAGGGGTTTCAGAATGATTTGAAGTAGGCGGTTGTACCAAAAAAGTAGCCGGCTGTGACTGATAGTTAAAAAATCGCGCGGGGAGGGGAGCGTGCCCTCGCATGGAAATTTAAAAAATTTTCGCCGCAAATTAACAATCAAATAATATAGAATAAGTAAAAAGACAAAGTACAACTGTTAACATGTTAGATTTAGATGTCATTTGCATTTATACTTGTAAGTGACAATGTACTTTAGTGTGCTACTAGCAGTTTAATTTTTACAGCTGCATGAACAGAATGACAATGTACACTACAGTAATAGTATTAATTTGTGAGTCCGAAATCATTAATCAAATGATGTTATACTTATGTACGTACGTAATGAACTTCACTTCATCACTTTTTCTTTCTTTTGCTATGTTTGGTACTATGTATTATAATTTATCTTATTGATCTTCCAAAATAGGTGATGTTTTGTTTGAATTCAGGGCTTGAATTTTTCGCGGCAATTGCCGTAGAGGGAGAACAAATCATCATTGCGGCAACGACGGAAATTTTTTGCCGTATAGTAGAATTTTTGTACTATTCACTGTGCATTACTATTTTGATACTTGAATTCAGATGTTGATCAAATCATCCGTAAATTACTATTTTAGTCTCAGTTTTCTTCGAAAAAAAAAACACTAAAGAAATACGTAAACATGTTTCTATAGCTTGTCAGCAATCCAAAGTAAAAATAAAATAAAATTTTTATTACAGTAATTTGAAAAAATGCCGTGGAAACTGACAAAATTGCCGTAGACAGCTGTTACGTTCTACGGCAATTTTTAACGCCATTGCCGTCGATTGATTTCAGGGAAATTCGAGGCCGGCCAACTTGAATTCCAATTGGAACATAACAAACATCGTGTTGGTTCGCTTGTACCTTTGTAGTTTGTACAGTATATAAAATTTTTCCTGTGACCAGACGAAACTAGTAGCCGGCGGTAAAAGTTCAAGTAGCCGGCGGAACTCCGCCGGCCGCCGGCTTATTTTGAAACCCCTGCCATTATATAGAAATTACACGTGTATCCTCTTTATCAACAACAATGGACGGTCATGTTGATGAGAGTAGTCATGTCCTATTCTTAGATAAATTTAAAAACAACAAAGGGTACAGGGGAAAACTACTGCAAGAAATTATAGCTGCTATCTGTGCTATGCTAAATAGCAATGGTGGAAGCGTGGTTATACATATTAAGCCTCATGGCAACATCCCAGTAGGTTTCTCTTCCTCCCAAATGTCATTGGTGATTCGAATACTAGAACAATCTATAATATCTATCATTGGATCACACCAGACCGTCTCGAAAATGAATTTCAAAGAAGATAAAGATAGCATTTTCATCAAGAAAGCTGATTCTTTAATAACTAATTATAACCTTTGGTTACCGAGTAAAACACAAGTAGTACAAACGTCTTCGCTGGAATCACTAAAAAAAGTCAAAGACGATATAATGAATAGAAAAGACATTCCGGAACCAGTTCAACTTGGCTCGCATTGTAAAATATTTGTTATAGATGAAAATTGCGGTTTTCACGAATGCCAAATGGTTCAGTTCAAGAATGTAAAAGCAGGTCCATCAAAACGTACCAGACTAGCAGATCGTATGACTGGTAAAGGTAATAAATTTAGTTGTTATGTTGCAGCGTTTGCCAACTATAACGGAGGTCACATGTACTATGGTATCACTGATGATGGAGTTGTTGAAGGCGAGGTGATTTCCGATGAGGACGACAGGCGTGAGATAATAAAGAAAGTCATCAACAAGATGATCTGGCCTGAGCTGGTTGGTCAACCAAAACGAGGGGTACACTGGGAAATATTCTTCGAGCCAGTGGTAGACGAAAACTCCAAGCCTATCCCATCAACCTTTGTGATTGTGATCTTTATCGTTGCTTGTCTGGGTGGTGTGTTCACTGAAGAACCAGAATGTTATGAAATGGTGGATGGGAAAGTTGAGAAGATGTCGTTCAGCACTTGGAAAAAAGCAATATTGCATCCAGTTTGGTTGCGTGGTAGGAACAAAATCTCGCGGGCAGTTCCTCGTATTTCTTGGAGCTCAGCTGGGGCTCGGAAGACTTTCACTGTTGCATGTGAAAAATTAAGGCAATTAATTAATAATGGTGGTCGGGGTACCTTTTCGAAGGAGTGTCAAATTCTTCAGAGAAAATCTGAATCATGCATGATGAAGTTATTGGTTTTGTCCAAACAAGTCACCGCGTGTTACCGTTGGGGTAACTTCGAAAAAGCGCGCATCTTTCTCGAACAGTACAACGCTATTTTATCGCAAGCACAGAATCGTTTGATTTTCGAGGTGTTGGGATTGTACTTACAAGCAGCTCTAAAACGTGCAAGTGGAGATTTTGAAGAGCTCCTGGAACTATTGACTGAAGCTTTGTCCAAGGCAGAACTGATTGAACCAGGCCTGGTAACAGCAATAGTATATGTTTTTGCTGGAACTGTGACTGACTTGATAAATTCAGAAGACCCAACAGAAGTAGTTTTACCTGATGTTCTTTCAATAAGAGCTCTGGAAGATTTACGATGTGTGGATCAATCTGAAGTCGTTGCAGAAATGAAGTAGAAGGCACATATAAATTTGGCTACTTTTTACCTTGGCTGTAATATAAGTGGACAGCGTATTAAGGGTAATATAGACGTTTCAGACATAGATAAAGCAAAGAACAGTATAATGGCTGTGCATCAATCCGCTGATGAAGGGCGGCCACTGAGTAGGTATCGTGAAGTTCAGCTCAATTTGGTATTGTCCATTTGTAATTATCGACGTTCAGAAGTCAGTCCTGACGAAAGAGTTCGCTTTTTGCGCTATGCCTTTGACTACGCCAAGAAAGCTGAATGTCTTGCAAGAGATTATCAGTTCACAGAAATGGTTGAATGGAGTAAGGCTACCGAAGCTTTATGCACGGAAGAACTAGTGCGCGCGAAATTTGCCATTCAACCAAAATAGACTGTACGAGTTAAAACTCCGAGTCTAGATTTGCAATTTACCATAGTTCATCTGTATGTAGGAGTACTGTTCACATAAGCCAGTCTGTCCCATCAAATAGTAATAGTAATAGTAATAGATTATTGTCGATTTCAAGTCACTTTTCAACGCGCAGTTTCCAAGTTCGTTGCGAACTTGCCAATTACGTTTCCAAGTTCGGAAATTGGGCCCAACTTCGCAACAAAGTTCATAAGTACACTTTCAATGTTTAAACTATTGTAAACAAATGTTCATAGACATAGTTCAAGTTGAAATTAACAATTCAATGGAAAGTTCTTGGTCAAGTAGGCTACCAAGGCTACCAAGGTTTGTATTTCATTGAATTGCTTGTTATTATTGAGTATGAACTTTTGTTTACAAACGAAGTTCAAACATTGAAATGAACGTTGTTGCGAAGAAGATAAAGATAGTATCAATTTCCGAACTTGGAAACGTAATTGGCAAGTTCGCAACAAACTTAGCGTTGAAACGTGACTGGAGATTGACAATAATAGTAAAAACTTTATAAAAACTACGAGGGAAACGTGTTAACCATATTAGAGAGGTTCAGATTTGACTTCCACTACCACTAGCATTAAGGGACTATTAACCAATCAGATGCGTTTCATATATCTGATCAAGGGAGCACGCCAGAAATATTTGTGTAAATTTATACTAACCTTTTAATTACATGTAAATGTTTTCAATTTTCATCGGCCGCCATTTTGAATGTAACATAAATTAATGTCAAAGATGAACATAAATTATTGCGCCTGCGATAAGCTAATACCGCTTTCAACATTCAAAATGGCGGCCGATGAAAATTGAAAACATTTACATGTAATTAAAAGGTTAGTATAAATTTACACAAATATTTCTGGCGTGCTCCCTTGATCTGATTAACCAATCGGTTGCAGACTAAGCCAGTGAGAGGTAGTGGTAGCAGAAGGCAAATCTCAAATTATAAGCGCGATGTACGAGGCTGTTTGGTCCATACTTCATCCAAATGGTAAATCAACTCTATTCGAACTGTAGATTTTATATATTTTTATGTATTTATAACCAAATGAAATTCGAATTTGGTGTTCCGATATTACGAAAACTCGTATAGGGAATTCCCCTCTGTTGTACGTAATTGTAATTTAAACGCAGGTTGCGCAGCAACCTCGCAAGCCAGGGTCTTCTACCTACGCTGGCGCAGGTATTTAAAGCCACGCGCCTTTGTCAGGCCTACACACTTAACAATAACACAAATGACAGAAATGGGTCGTTTGATGCAGTGAACTGTTTGATGTCGTCTCTTGCAACGAAATACATGTAGCCGCGTAAAAGGAATCAACACATATCGTAACTTTGCTTTGAAATATGGGTAATGCCATTGAGTCTCTGTAACTGATTATTAACCTGAGATTGACAAAAGCAAAAGGTACGCAAATATTCATAGAATCATAGATCGTCCACTGATTCGCAGTTTATATCAGTGAGTGCAGTCACGCGTTTATTCCTGAAATCTCTTAATGCTTCTAATGAAGTTAACTTAAAATACCTTTTATAGATGTAATACTAGTAATTTATACATGACTATAGCAAGACTAACAATTCGCTTCATGCTGCTTGGCGTGTTTTAATACTACGGCTTGCTTTGTTTGTTTACTTTGACACACTATAAATTTACACATAGACTTAAAATATCATGAGATTTGTACAGTATAATCGACAAAGTAGCTAACTTTAAGTGGTATCGAAAGAGTGTTACTGAATCTAGCTAGACCTAAAGTGGTTGCTTTTGTCATAAAACGTCCTATAGGTCCAAACCTACAGTCAAATGCTTATTATGGATTTATGGTTCAAAGTCCATTCCAATATTTGTATGATACATACCTGCATGGTTGCCATGTTGATTCCTATCATTTAACATGCAAATTGTTTTAATAGTATAATATACCTCATTAAAATTAATGTTTTTATTTAGGTTTATGCAAAAATGTGGTTATGTGATCCTAGTTGGTCACATGTGTATTGTATGTTTGGCGCAATAGCAATCAATCTTTTGTTATAGCATAGATATAGCCCAAACACACTGTGGAGGCCCACCAAGGGGTTATGACCAACAGGCGAAATTACTTAAAAAGAGGCGACAGACTATCTAAAAAAGAGCGACAAACGACAGCTTCTGGACTGGAAAACAGCGACAAATTGCAATTTTGTTATGGGTCAAGAGTGACAGCGACATTTATTACAATAAAACAAGGGACAAAGCAGCTACAAAATGAGTGACAAGTGACCTAGGTTACACCCTTGGTGGGCCTCACTGTGCAATTTAAATCCTTGGAGCAGTTGCAACCTCTGGCAGTAATCGAACCTGCAGCTCTGCGATTCTGGTGCAGTGCTCGCTGACCAACTGACCTACAGAAGCCAGTTGTCAAGCTTTAACTGCAAGTTCTTGTATATATACTAAATTTATGCCAGTGTAAGGCATGATGTTTTCATTGATTAATGTTAAAATATTTAGTAGTACCTACATTTGGACTGTTGTTTTTTTTTATATGGCAGACATTGATATTTCTCCTAGCTGGGACATTTTGATTGGATACTAAATATAAAACTGTAGGTGCATGCAAAGCTACCACCCTCAGGCTCTATATATAAAATAGAGAATGATTGCAAGTTTAATATCAATATGTGGACATTTGACAGCAGTGTTGACTAACATAGATAACAAGTCTCCAGCAAACCATGTATACCGGTAGGCAGAATTCAGAGAAAAACTGTGTTTTTTATATTGGGAAGGTAAGGGGTGTGAAAACTTATTTCCTGACTGCACAGTTATCCCTCTTGATCCCCTGTATCCTCCTTCCTGTATAAAATATTGCATAATAGACCTTTCCGGTAATTATGTCACGACTAACACTGTTTTCAACTTAGGGACCATTCATTATTTATGACTGGGGGTGGGCTGGCAAAAAAAGGGGGTGGGTCATGAAGTATTTTTGACTGAAAAGGGGGCACCTAAAAATATTGGTTTAGAAGGGGGGTCCAGTTATTTATTATTATGATATTATAGTGGAGAAACATTTGACATGTAACGATTATTGCTACCACAGGGAGCGAGCAAGGTAGCAAATTTAATTCATGTATAGTTAGAAAAATTCTCAATTTTAATCAACAGATAGATCCAAAATGCAATGCACAAATATCCAAAATGCAATGCGCATGCACAGCTAATATCATGAAAAATGTTCTAACATCTACCTTATAACTTTTGCCATAAACTTGCCATAAATTTTTGTCATATTTCAATTATGTACATTTTAATCAAAGAAAGATAATTAACCAGTAAGCGATGTAGCAACATTTATACGTCCAGCGGTCCAGGGAAAGTTTGGCATATACTATATACACTAGTTTATACTAGGTATTTTATTCATGGTTTAATTTAGTAAAGAGTTTGTTGGTTTACCGTGTCAAATCCGAGTCAAATGTCCAAGTCACTAGTTGTTTAGAGGTCTTCGTAGTTCATTGACGTACGTAGTACGTATACCCTAACCCTACTCCTAACCCAGGGGCCGTAGCAACCAGGGGCTGCATGCTGCTCCC